CGAAAATTGAGAAGCTGTTGCAGAGCCCGGAAAAGTAAGGGCCTTGGAAGAATGGCTTGCTTGGCGGACTCTAACAGCCCCACCACGCTGGCTAGCTGTCTGATTCCTATCACCTCCTGTTCTAGAAGTGATAGGCAAGAACTCACTACCTTGTCTAACTTGTCTTCGGTTAGGTAAATTGTCAAAGTACGAGAATCGAGAACAAGGCCTAGGAAAATCGCTACCTGAGACGGTACCAACCGCGACTTCTCCAGGTTGAGAACAAACCGAGTTGCTCTAGAAGCTCTCTGCCTATAGCAATGTGCTCTAAGCATTGTTCCCTCGACCTTGCAATGATCGGTAAGTCGTCTAAGAAAACTACTACTAGTAATCCAGGGGTCTCCCCAAGCAATGAAACAAGGGCGCTGCGCCTCTCAAAAAATGTTTAAATGTAGGGTCTTCTCTTCGTACTTTTGCTTGTGTTAGCTTGGCTAATTCGTGAAATTTTGCTGATTTGGGGGCCAAGCGGCGTCACTATGCCCATCGGTATTGTCTGACAAAAGTTGTAAAAAGGCGCTATTTGAATAACAATAGTCCACTTTGCTACACAAAATCAATGTGTTTGGTAAAATGTTGACACCCTGCTGGCATTTGAAAATCCTACTTTCATGTAAACAACGCTAATTTCTCCATGAAATACAGCCCAAACAGTCAGAGAATAGATTTTTAGGGGCTAGTATATGGCGATCGTAACGTGGAAAATCCCCTTTCAAAATTCGGCAACATGGAAGAAAAATAACTCACGAAAATCTTCCCTTCAAATGAGGAATCAGTGCTCCAACAAATTAAACATATAGAGAAGAACATGTCTTCTTTGTTGTGACCTTGTATTCAATCCATTTTACGAGTTTTGGACACGTTTTCGTGGCCTTGAACATAGAAATGTGTAGCGCTCGGCACGAGGTCGGCCATCTTGTTTTCTTCAAATCTCCCGATATCTCGCGAGATTCAGTGAGACTTGGGCAAAACACTGCAGTTTTGACCAAAACCGCTAGATGGCTAGGGTAGAATTACAGGTTTGTTGTTGTAGGGACGAAAAATGTAACCCTTTTAGTTTGAGGAGTACTTGTTGTAGCTATAGTTAAACTTTGAACGGTTGGACTTAGAAGTGCTCGAAGGGGCTGACTTATAAGCCTTACTCAAAGTGCGTCTAGCCTAATCGGCTGAATTAACCTTCTCCAAAAAGGTGTCTCCAAATTAAGAAGGGGAAGAATCTGAAGTTCCCGAGCAGGTCGCTACATTTTTGAGCGAGGACTTTACTTACAAATTTGGAGTTTAACTGCTGCCAACAACTACTCTACTAAAAGGTTAGCAGCCATGAGCATCTTATCCTGGCAATCACTAAAATTCTTATCAGTGTTTACGGTATCATGCTTGATCATATTAGCCACTACTGGGTCTAGAATCGGCGCCCGAAGTGCTAATTCAACATTAGGTGGAGTGGGAAAAGTTTTCCTTCCTCTCTTCACTAAGGGTTCGGACCATCCTCTAAACCCGATGCTGTTTGCAAGCGATAGAATCGTCTTTGGTGTTTTTTGGGTCTAGCTTCCTCTACTATGACTCAGTATAGACGTGAAATGTGTGGCAAGGACATGAAACAAGATATGAAACATGTCTTC